CTTTACCCACAGAAGCTCTCGCAAGTCCTCGGCTGTCAAGAAAATTCGTTTTATCATTCAGCCATATAAATCATCACAAGCTCCACAGGAAATCGAGAAAGTTTGACTTTCCAGTCATAAACCATAAAATCTGTCATTAATATAATAACATGCATCGGGATATTTGGAGACGGGGTTAAATGAGTACCAGACGTGGGCATCGATAAAAAGGTTTGGCTTGCGACGTCAGTTTTCCAAAATACAGTATCAGAAATAATATAATGTCACCCGGACTGTATGTCACTCATCGTGCGAGATCTCTGGAAACGTGATTTGACCGGTTTGCATTACCAGTTCATTAGTTCTCAATTAACACTCAGTCACCTCAAAAGGTTTATAGGGCCGTTTCTTTGACGAGAAACATGTCTTTGCTCCTCTGTGACTGGCTGAGACTCAAGATGGAGTTTCTTTTTCCAAATATTTCACATTTTAGTGTTTGGCTCAACCCTATGGAAAAAAGGCAGTTTTGCATGAATATTTGGCATGCTGCTGAACTCTGTCCATCATGTGCAAGTCGATCTTCACTGAGACGCTCACTTCCATTGGGCGGCCTTTGACAAGATAGAAGATAAGTTGAGCCTCCTGGCACAAACATATAGATTTAACAATGAGATCTATTGTTCTTCTGGTAGCTGTCCATGGTACTGATATCAGAGGCGATTGGACCACAACTACCTTGATTATGGTGTGGTGGGTTTGAGCGTAATGTTACCAAAATTGTTAAGTTTCTTAAAGGGATAGTTCACTTTGAAATTAAGTTTTGGTATGTTTCACCAAGATGTAGGTGTCTTTGTTTCCGCAGTATTTTCAATTTTGATATTTTTAGGTCAAACCGTTCTTGTCTGTCATATAATGGAGGTCTATGGTCACCACCTCAAAGAGCATGCACAGAGAAGTCCAAATTAAACATGATTTAATGAATAAATATAAGTACACATTGATGGCCTAAGACACGGAACGAGCGGTTTGTGTGAGAAAACGGAACAGTATTTATATCGTTTTTACCTCTTGTAACCACACAGCCACATCCAAGTACTCTGAGGGCGTGGGGGCTCCTGTCTGTGCAAGAGCCGGAAGTGATCTATCACGTGTATACATCACTCTTGAGGTAAAAACAATATAAAGTACTGTTTGTTTTCTTACACAAACTGCTCATTTTGTGTCTTAGGCCATCAATGTGTACTTACATTTATGAGTCATTAAATCATGTTTAATTTGGACTTCTCTGTGCATGCTCTTTGAGGTGGTGACCATAGACCTGCATTATATGACTGACAGACAAGAACGGTTTGACCTAAAAATATTAAAATTGAAACTACTGCGGAAATAAAGACACCTACATCTTGGATGCCCTTGAGGTAAGCTAAAACACATCAAAAATTAATTTCAAAGTGAACTATCCCTTTAAATATTCCACATTTAAAACCTTGTTACTGTCTGGGGACAACTTTATAGAGGTCATGCTAAAAAAAATTACTTTATGATTCCTATTTGGATTATTTAGGAGTCTTTACATTCTGATATGAATTCGTAATTGCTGAAGAACAGCACAGAGCTCATGCTGAGCAACATGAAAAACAACATGACTCTGCTTTTTACACGTATTGATTAAGAATCATCTTACAGATGATGTTTCAATGTTGTCTAGATTCTTTAAAGAAATCAAATTGAATTGATTTAATTCAAGTCAGCAGTATTATTTGACATCACTGAATCACTAAATACATTAGATTACACCAACACAACTTTAAATGTAAGAGGTTCAGAGGGATTAATAAAATAATATTTATCTAGATTTTAAATCTGGTTTTAAGCATAAATATCAATAAATTGTGACAAAATGTCTTTAAAAACTGCTTTGTGGTGGTAATAGGAAATAGGAAAAAGGAACATAATATATTTACTTACTATCATTTTGGAATAAGAAAAAGTTTTGGAATAATTAAGAAGTCATTAAATGAAAGAAGCATCTTGTATTCACCAAGACCGATGTTTGATTAAATATATGTTTTAAAATGCAATTTATGAATTTTCAGCATCATTACTCCACTCTTCAGTGTCACACGATGCTGATTTGGTGCTCAGTTATTGTTGGTGCTCTATTGATAATGGTTCTTATTATTATCAATGTAGTATTGATGAACATTAAAGTTTTCATTGCATAATATTTTAAGCGGTGATGCCCTTAGATTATTTGATGAAAAGGTTCAAATGAACAACATTTATGTGAAATAGAATTTGTTTGTACCATTATTAATGTCTCTTGCTGAATAAAATAATAAATTGAGTCATTGCTGAATAAAAGTATTAATTTAATTTCCTTTCTTTCTTTAAAAAAAAATCTCACCCCAAAGTTTTGAATAGTATAGTGTATCACGGTAGTACATCACAAAAATATTAGACAGCACAAATAATCATGTTTCATGAGCACCAAATCATCATATTAGAATGATTTCTAAAGGATCATGTGACACTGAAGACTGGAGTAATGATGCTGAAAATTCAGCTTTGCATCACAGTTAAAATCTGTTAACACTACTAATGCACAATAATACTATTTTTACAGTATTTTTGATCAAATAATCATATAGGCTTATTGGTGAACTTCTTTCAAAACATACAAAAATGAATTATTCTGAACTTTTGACTGGTAGTGAATGCTTAAAATATTTGTTTAAAGTTATTTGAATATGTTTAGACATTTCTAATGGAACGACAGAAGTACTGGTTATGTACTGATTGACAGTGCTGACTGGTTTGTGGGTCTCTCTCTCTCTCTCTCTTTCAGTGTTTCTCACTTTAGTAAGACAATAATTGAAAGATTGATGTCAAAGGGAAAATCTGGGGAATTTTGCTTGTCCAAGAACAATATAACAGTATAAGGTACAGTACATTCCCAAATATTTAACAAACCCAACATTACTTCAGATTTCACTCCACTGCAGTGCATTTAATAACATACAGCGGGGTCCAAAAGTCTGGAGCGCACTGAAAATCTGGGATTTGAAATCTAATTAGGGTCCATTTAAAGCATTCAGAGCAATTTCTTTGTTGCCCACTCAGATTAAGGACCTCTGGCTCAATATTTACTGGCTGTATCTGAACATCTAAAGTGTGAACCTGCATGCTTTTCCCACTCAGTTCACATTCATGGAAATCCCAGGAAGGCTCCTGATTTAAATGGAGATGGATCACTCTCTGATTATGTCTTCAAGCAACGTGTAACCGCCCCAGTTTAACAGACATCAATACCAGAGAGACGAACGCAGCGCCGAGGCCAGCCGTGCTTCCAGGACCATCCAAAGCAAATGTTGATCCAGACTTTTGTCCAAGTCAGTGCGTTCTACAGTAGTGCGCAAACCCTGAGCTGCTTCCCAGCTTTCATCTCCGGCCAGGTATCTTCAAGGTTCATTGATAAGGCAATGAAACTGTATGTAAATGGAACAACCCGGCGCATGGACTTCTGGCCATTAGTCTTCCCTAAAGCCCCAATGTGACTTTTAATCAATGTCAAACTGGGGAAAAGAGACGGAGGAGAAAGTTTAATGACTGAGATGATATATTTAAAGAGGAACACAGTAATGCCAGGAAACTATGATAGAATACTACGTTTGAGACCGACGAAATCATTGCAAAATGTCTTTTTATTTCTCTTACGAAGAAAACTATTATAATCAACATACAACAATCAAAAAAAAAAGCCAATTTCTTTCACTGTTGTCATGATAATTTCCCCCTCAAACCCTTTTTCTATCCGTGGATAAAAGAGAACAGGCTTCACAGGGAAGAAAACACAGATGTGCAAAGGAAACAAAGCATGCAAGAACCAGAGACAAATTTGCTACAAATTGCCCTCAGTTAACCTGTCAGATAAATACTAATTTACAAAAGAAGGAATGAGATAATAATTCAACAAAACTCGGGTGGTGTATTTACCTCCTGTAATATACAACATGGTCTCTGAACGATGTAAACATTTCGTACACACTCACAGCTATTTGAATTTATAGGCAGGCGCCCTGATTTGAAGCAGAGTCGGGACCAGAAATGCCGAAAATAAACCATGACCAGTCCCTCCAGAGATGCAATACTGGACCAATGTTCAGGTAAATAAGGACAGAAACACGTCCTTTCAGTTGTGTGTTGAGGTCTGTATAGTTCCAACTGTAAGGCACTAGATATATATATATAACTCTGGTACACTATTGCAGTTGGGTAAGTCAATCCGTCAATGATGGATAAACTAAGGGAATACTAATACTCGTTAATTTGCACACGTATAACCTGATAATGAACATTTACATCAACTAAATTGACCATGGAATAAAATTTAGCTATGTTACCATTCAAAAGATTGGGGTCAGTGAGAAAATCAGAAAAATTTCCAAATCAAAGTCATTTCACTCGGCGGCCATCTTTAAAACGCAAGTGAAGCTCCTATCTCTTTGAATAGGGAAACATCAAATTCTCCAAAGCTGTTCAATAGCGCTTATCACTGTAAAAAAAAGGATTTTTAAGCACAAAATTTTTCTTTTTTCAAATCAACTTAGATAATTTGTGTAGTATAGATAACATACTATTTTGAGTTTCTGATGGTTAAATTAATCTCCTTCATTGTATTAACTCATTTTTTTTTCATTTCAATGAACTTAAAATTTTAAGGCAACCAGGTTACTTTTTTTTTAAAGTTAAACCAACAATATTTTTTTTACAGTATACGATTAAATTTCATATTTGAAATCACCAATAAATCTGACAACAACGGTCTCAACAAGTGTTTTAGCAGAGCTAAGCGGAGCTTCTAACGGCAGCTGCGATGACGCAATGACTTTAGCAATTGCCGATTGGCTGTTTTGGCTAATTCCACCATACACTGTAAAAAAAAAATATTTTTAAGATTTGTTATCACAACATTTTTTCTTTTGTCAAATCAACTTAAATAATTTATTTAGCTCAGATAACTTATTATTTTGAGGTTACTTAATTTTTTAAGTTAAACAAACAATATTTTTTTACAGTGTATTGTGCTTTGCACTTTCTCCCATAGTACCATGAGTGCACCTTCTTTTTATATTTACACCCGGTTCCACAGACAAGGCTTAAGTCTAGTCTCAGACTAAAAATCACATTTGAGCTGTTTTAACTGAAAGCAACTTGCACTGACATATCTTAAAATATGTAAGTACCATTGTTTTGTCTTAAAATGCACACCAATAATGTTTTTTTAAGGCACGTTCATAAAAAGCTGATTGAACTAAGACCTAATCCTGGTTTAATCTAAACCCTGTCTGTGAAACCAGGCCCTAAAGTCTTTGTTATAATGTGCTGATTTGCTACTCAAGAAAGAGTTCTTATGAATATCAATGTTGAAAACTGCTTAATATTTTTTTTTTTTGTGGAAACCATGATTCATTTCATTAACCAGATTTTTTTTTCAAAGAAAAGAACAGCATTTGTTTGAATTCGAAATCTTTTGCACCATTATTAATAGTCTTTACCGTCATTTTTGATCAATTGAATGCCTCCTTGCTGAATAAAAGTATTAATATCTTAGAAAAAACTTACTGAACCCAAGCTTTGAATGGTAGTGTAAATTTAGCAAATTCATAGCAAATAATAATAATGAAAAAAAAAAAAAAATATCTAGCTGCATTTGCAATGGGTAATATAGTGCCATAAGTGTACTACCCATCTTTTTCGGGCATATGAACCACTCCAGTTATCGGGAAAAGAATATAACCTTCAATATTCCCTTGACGAAGCAACATAAAAGCTAAATAAATTATCCCAGCACATGCACGTTACTGAAAGAAAGCTTGATCTAGCACATTGGCAAACACTTTTGAGCATCCATGGCTGTTTCTTTGGTTAATAGCTTTCGAACAGCGAAAGATCATTTGGTACCAAGCAATACAAAATGTAGTGTACTTAAACACAGAGACCCCATTTCGTTTTAAACGCATTAGACTTAAACATACAACTCTGTGTGATCCATTAAGGCACATGAATTTAAATTACCCTAAATTAGTTGCATTAATTAAACATAGATGCTTTACAAAAATATTCCCCCTATGTTCCAAATACATTAATTCATCTATGGCTTCATAAGTTACTTTAAATCCTTTTTTATCAAATACGTATAACTTAAGTTAAAAAAGCACAACAAAGAGATTTTGATCACAAACTGTCAGACAGATGTTGTTCAGTGCTTTAAAATGATATATTAAAAACATGCCAAGACAAGTAAGTAATAACATGACGCTAATGAAATACTCGGCCCATCTCTATTCCTTCAATTCGAAATCCTCCTGCCTATGACAATGATTTCCCAGAGGTCAAAAAGTCCAGAACAATGTATTACAACAACAAAGTTCAATGTAGTGTAAAAAAATACTTCCCTTTCAACAGGCTCATAAATACTCGTGTCAGCCAGGGAAAGTAGCTCAGCGAGATCCTAGTAAGGTTTGTGCTTTAAAACCGCTTGACGCTCACGTCGTTGTCATACGGTCAATATGGCCGCCACACGCCTTCGTCCATTCTACCAGCAGGATTGAGCATAGTGGGGGAGTTGCTATGACTACCGTCCCCCTCCACCCCCCCGCCTCCATCAGCCTGGACCGGGAGGTTGGGATTGACCAGGCTGGTTCCCGTGGATGCGCTAGTACAAGGCGGCATCATGCGGGTGGGCGATCGGTCCCCTCCTGGAACCATGGAGAACTGGTAGGAGCCAGAGGAGGCCCCGTAGTAGAGATACGGAGTGCTGCTGCTCTGGAAGGGTCCGCTTTGGCTCTGCGTGGAGCCGGGGTACGGTGGCGGAAGGTAAGTGTGGTAATGAGCGCTCCCGAGAGACATTCCCGTGGTGACCGGGGTGGGCGTGTACGTGAAGGTCGTCGGGTAGTGCATTCTGGGACTGGAGAACCGGCTCTCGGTGAGCGAGGAGAAACCGGGAAACTGACGTTCAAACTGGCCAGGAAAAGGACTCAAATCTGTCGAACCTATGGAAACAAATGTTGAGGTTACTTTCAGGATGAATACTATTGAAGACAACGTTAAATAACATGACAACACAACAATCCAGTGTGAGCAAGTGCTAAGGAGTTCACTGTGAATTAAGCTGTATGTATACGAATTTACACACACAAACTGTGTATATATATTTAAATGTTTTGGGGAAAAAAGTATCTTATGCTCACCAAGGCTCCATTTATTTGAAAAATACAGTAAGTAATAATGAAATTTATTATAATGAAATAAACAGCCATTACTCTAGCCTTAAGTG